TTCTATTTCATGGAATACTTTGGAAGAGTATTATGTTCATTCTTTTTTTTTCTTGTTTCTTGTTGGTAGGCTTTTTAAAAAAATATTTTTAGTTGTAAATAGACCTTTATTTTATTTATTTATATGCGGTGTTGAGAATTGAACCCAGTGTCTCACACATGCTATGCAAGTGCTGTACCACTGAGTCACAACCCCAGCCTTGTTGGCAGCCCTGTTGGTAGGCTTTTGATGGCATTTTCTATTTCATTACTTGAAACTGATCTGTTTAAATTGTGTATGACCTCCTCATTCAGTTTGGGTAGGTCATATGTCTCTAGAAATTTGGTGATGTCTTCAGTATTTTCTATTTTATTGGAGTATAAAGCACCAAAATAGACTTGTAGACCAATGGTACAGAATAGAGGACACAGAGACAAAACCAAATAAGTACGTTGTCTCATACTAGACAAAGGTGCCAAAAACATTCACTGGAGAAAAGATAGCCTATTCAACAAATGGTGCTGGCAAAATTGGAAATCCATATGTAGCAAAATGAAATTAAATCTCTATCTCTCACCCTGCACAAAAATCAACAGAAAGTGGATCAGAGACTTAGGCACTAGAACAGAGACCCTGCACCTAATAGAAGAAAAAGTAGGCCCAAATATTCACCATGTGGGCCTAGGATCTGACTTCCTTAACAAGACCTCTAAAGCACAAGAAGTAAAATCAAGAATCAATAAATGGGATTAATTCAAATTAAAAAGCTCTTCTTAACAAAGAAAACAATAATGTGAAAAGAGAGCCTACAGATTGGGAGAAAATCTTACCACATGCACCTCTGATAAAGCATTAATCTCTAAGATATATAAAGAACTAAAAAAAAAAACACCAAAAAAATAATAACCCAATCAATAAATGAGCTAGTGAATAGAGACTTCACAGAAAAAATACAATCAATCAACAAATACATGAAAAAGTGTTCAACATCTCTAGCAATTAGAGAAAAGCAAATCAAAACTACACTAACATTCCATCTCACTCCAGTCAGAATGGCATTCACTAACCCAGATGCCCTTCAGTAGATGAATGGATAGGGAAACTTTGGTATATATACACAATGGAATATTACTGAGCATTAAAAGAGAATAAAATCATGGTGTTTGCAGGTAAATGAATGGAGTTGGAGAATATAATGGTAAGTGAAGCAAGCCAATTCCCAAAAAGCCAAAGGCCAAATGTTTTCTTTGATATGAGGATGCTGACTCATAATGGCAATAGTGTGGGGAGAGCATGGGAGGAATGGAGGAACTTTAGATAGGGCAAAGGGGAGGGCGGAGAAGGGAGGGAGCATTGGGGTAGGAAAGATGGTGGAATGAATTAGACATCATTACCCTAAGTACATGTATGAAGACACGAATGGTGTGAAAATACTTTGTGTACAACCAGTGACTTGAAAAATTGTGCTCTATATGCGTAATATGAAATGAATTGTATTCTGCCATCATATATAACAAATTAGAATAAATAATTTAATAAAAAAAGAATACAGGCAATAATAAATGTTGGCGAGGATGTGGGGAAAAAGGTACACTCATACATTGCTGGTGGGACTGCAAATTGGTACAACCATTATGGAAAGCAGTATGGAGATTCCTCAGAAAACTTGGAATGGAACCCCCATTTGACCCAGTTATCCCACTCCTCAGTTTATACCCAAATGACTTAAAATCAGCATACTATAGTAACATAGCCACATCAATATTTATAGCAACTCAATTCCTAATAGCTAAACTATGGAACCAACCTAGGTGTCCTTCAATAGATGAATGGATAAAGTAAATGTGCCATATATATGCAATGGAATATTATTCAGTTTTAAAGAAAAATGAAAGTATGGCATTTTCCAGAAAATGGATAAGGTAGAAAATATCATGCAAAGTGAAATAAATCGATCCAAAAAATATCAAAAGCAGAATTTTTTCTCTAATATGTGGATGCTAATTCACAACAAGCAGAGGGCACTAGAGAATAAAGTTACCCTAGATTAGGTGATTAAGTAGAAGGAAATGAAAGGAGGAAAGGGGAGGGCATGTGAGGATAGGAATGATAGACAGACATTATTACTTCATATATATATATGAAGTAATAATGTATATATATACATACACACACATATGACTGCATGACCAATGTGATTCTACAACATATACACTAAAAAAAAAATGAGAAATTGGGGCTGGGGTTGTGGCTCAGTGGTAGAGCGCTCACTTAGCACTTGCAAGGCCCTGGGTTTGATCCTCAGCACCACATAAAAATAAATAAAGATATTGTGTCCATCTAAAAAATAAATATTACAAAAAATGAGAACTTATATCCCATCAAAGTGCATAAATGCATTCTACTGTCATGTATAACTAATTAAAACAAGTAAAAAAATTTTTTAAAAATAGTTTAAAATACTCATAAACTCTAATTCTCAGCATGTAAACAGGCCCATGGAGGGAAAGTATAATCAACCCTCCACAAACAATTCTCATAAACTTGAACAATATACTTTGCACAAAGCTTTCTGGTGGCCTGGCAGCTCTAACAGGAATCTCCATGATGCCCTTTCCCCTTGCTCACATCTGTTTCCAAGTGTCCTAAGACAACTTTCCAATGAACAATTTCTACCACATTATTGGGTAGCAGGGCAATAAGTACTCTGGGTACTCTAGAAACAGCAACCTCTTCTCAGGAGACACTTGCTTCAATGCCTCCAGGAAACTGGAACATTCGGGCTGAAGGCTCCAAGCTGAACAAGATCCCAGGAGGCCCTAAAGGCAGAAAGGACATGACAGTGCCACTCTTACTTATGAGGTCTGTATGCTCTGACTGGGTGGTATCCACTTATTAAAACCGAAGGAGTTTAAAGTCTGTTTTATTACAGGATAATGAAGAGGTTCTAGAAATGGACACTTGAGCAAAGTCACAGAACAATGTGAATATATTAGTGGCACTGAACTGTACACTTAAAAATGGTTCAAACGGCAAATTTAGTGTATTTTACAATAAAATATCTAAAGATGCTTTTTCTATTGTTCAGTGTTTCCTGGCTCTTATTGAGTAATCACATCATTAAGAGTGTTAAACAGCTGGTGCAGTGGCGCATGCTTGTAATCCCATTGGGAGGCTGAGGCAGAAGGATCTCGAGTTCAAAGTCAGCCTCAACAAAAGCAAGGTTCTAAGCAACTCAGTGAGACCCTGTCTCTAAATAAAATACAAATAGTGCTGGGGAACATGGCTCAGCAGCCGAGTGCTTCTGAGTTCAATCCCTGGTACCAAAAACAAAAAAAAAAAACACAAAAAAAACAAAACACACTAGCCATCAAAATTTGACAGCCCTGTATTTGAGATTTGGTTGTGCTTGCTGCATCTGTGGAACCTAAAAGCATGTCACTTAGTTAAGCCTCAGTTTCCTCATCTGTAACATAGGAATAACAATATGCTCACTTACCTATTATAGGTTGCTGTGAAATATCAACTTGGTAGAGTTTTAGTATACCCGAAGGGGCTCAACAAATATTAGCTCATTTTCCTTTTAGGTTTTCATACCAATATGATTCTTGTACTTTGTGTAAGGAAGACTCAGAAAATCGGCTTTAGCATAAAAAGGCTGTTTATTCATTTCTCTTAGACCTTAATGTTACAGAGAACTATAAGACAACATGCCATAAAACACATTTCATATTATAGTCAAGTGATATATGAGCCCAAGTATTGCCCATTGAGTCAATGGTTAATAATCTTAAAGTATCATACTCTAAGAGGCAACAATTTCAGAAAAGTCACAACAACTTCAAATACTTGAAACAACTTAAATATATTTAATGTGTGTGTATAAACCTATAATTTTTTAAAATCAAGTATAACATAGCATACAAAAACACAAGACTAGTAATATAGGTCACACATACAATGAGGCTTACTGTACTCTCAGAATGAACTTAAATAAATTTTTGCTTAATTCTAATGAAATATACATTTTGAATAATTAGTCCAGGCAGAAAAGTACATGAAATGATTTATAAGTCAAAACATTTCATACGATAGAAATGGTTTTAGCAAAATCCACACAATATCAAGAGAAAATGCACTGGATTTAAAAATTTGGAACTGTTATAAAATAAAAATTTATATAGATGAAGCTAAGGGGTAAAAAACTATCTCAAATGTATTTAGATCATCTAAAGCCAAATCAGATATAACTAAACTATATAATTTAAATTATAATTTTTATATATTATATATAACTTTATTATGCAATAGGAATAATATAATTATACTATGTTAAATAATATAAATTAATATAAATAATATTATATAAATATATTTATCTATTATATATTATTATATAATATATAATTATAAACTTTTTGGTATTTAAGTGCATTTTCTTCATACAATTTAACTGAATACCATGTTAAAAACAGACAATTAGAAGGCAATTAGATACAGATTTGCAAGCTTTGGGGCCATTATGTAAATATTAAAAATTTAAGTGAATTGCCAATTGAATAATAAAAGTTTATATACATACAAGAAACATACAATGGTCAAAGATTCACTATAACATTGTATGGGAAAAAACATATTCATATCCAATAAATATTTTTCAGGCACTTGCATTCAGAAACATTTTATAAATAAGCACTTAGTTTTGCTCCAAAATAAAGCCAATTTTCCCCTCTTGCACCTATTTGTTGAGAACTCTATCATACATTAGGGATGCATTTAAATGGATCACTTTATGGGGAAAATTATTTGAAATTTTAAAATTATGACACTTATTTTATGCACAACTTCAAAAACACAGAATTTAAGGACAATTTCAGTGAGGCACTACCATTTTATATGACTAAAACACGACCTATTCTATATGACTAGCAAACACCATACAAGAACAAAAGGCAAAATACACACTTTGGCAAGCCTATAAAAGGCAAGCCTATAAAAGCCTATCATACATTAGGGATGCATTTAAATGGATCACTTTATGGGGAAAATTATTTGAAATTTTAAAATTATGACACTTATTTTATGCACAACTTCAAAAACACAGAATTTAAGGACAATTTCAGTGAGGCACTACCATTTTATATGACTAAAACATGACCTATTCTATATGACTAGCAAACACCATACAAGAACAAAAGGCAAAATACACACTTTGGCAAGCCTATAAAAGGGGTCCTGTCAAAACATTCTTTCATAAAACAAACACAATACCACAAAACAAAAACAACAAAATAACAAAAACTGAATTTTACAGCCCTACACAAATTGTGGGATTTCATCATCAAGGTCTTCAAACTGTTGCATTCGTTTTAGCCTGGGTCTCTGGCATGTTGGATTCACGTCAGGCAGGCCGTGTTCCTCAGAGTTCTCTTTAGGCTTACCACCTGGCTGCGAAGGACAAGCTGATGTGCTGTCTGCATCTGGAACTGGTTTCTCCACTTGACTCAGGGGAGTATGAGCTGTGCTAGGAGGCGTGGATGCTGAGGGCGAAGCTGGTCTCTCCTCAGTCCCTCTGACGTTGCTGGGGGTATGTGGTTTGTAAAATGTTGTCCAGTGTAGGGGCTGTAGTGTTCTGGGTGCTCTGGCAAGAGTGAGAGGACAAGAATCGGAGGACCCTCTCTCTGACACCTCTCTTGCTGATCTGGCTGGCGTGTTGGGCTGTGTGGCACCACTGGAATGGTCACCACTGATCCTGACGCTCACTGTCACTTTTTCCTGGAGTGCACTTGGCACAATCACTGCAGTCTTGGCAGTTAAGTTGTTTTGTTCACGTTGTTGTCCTCGAGTTTTGTGTGGAATCTGCTGATCAAAGACATTAAATTTGGAACATACAGTAGTAAGGGTATCTTTTCTATTAAGTTCTTCAAAGGTAGGATTATTGCAAAACTTGTCTGAATTGACATTTCCCACATTTCTGCTGTTTTTCTCAGTAGGAGGGCTTGAAAGAAGTACTACATCTTCAGGCAAATTTACAGGCCTAATCTCGATCCTTGGTGTGTGCCTCTGCATATTGTTTGTTGCCACATCAGATTTCAGAATAAGTGGCTTAGTGGTTCCACAAATATCATCCATCTTTTGAAATGATGATTCAAGATCTTTGTTATCTGAAAAAAGAAAGATTTTTTTTAACTTGGTTAACTCGGTTAATAAGGGAGTGTGGTTAGTTATAAATGGGTACTCTCTCAAAACAACACAGACTTATATATTTTTTCCAGCATGATATTCTCAGTCATCTATACAGAGGAATTAAAAATTCATAAGCATTAAAGGTAAATTTTGAATTAAAGCATTACTTTTTAAAATTTAAATAAAAAATTTGTAAATTTAGATAAACACAAAATTTACCTAAATCAATACAATAAATAGCCACAAAGCACATCACAGACTGGTTAAATAAAACCAAACAAAAAACACTTTCCTATGTAACTTGTTTTAATATATTATCCATGAATGAAGGTTTTCTGGGTTAAGACTATCCTGATTTCAACAGGCAGACACTGGTAACCTCAGAACACTAAAACTATTTTATATCCAACCAAAGGCATGTCCTGAATCCCAAGAACTTCGCCTGTCACTTCATCTGCTTTCCAGCTACATTCTGTCCATACTGAGGGCACACACCAGAGAGGACGTGGATGCTCGCCCAGCTGATCAACTAATACATGGAAACATTGGTCAAATTAAGGTTGAAGAGTTGTCAAAATTGCCATTCTGCTACTGGTACTGGTGACTCCAGATTTACTTCCTTCTCTTTCTCCTCTAGTCTGGTCCCAAGATCCCTGTTTTCTTGCTTAGAACCCTAGCTCCTCACACTCTGTCTTTGCTGCTTTACCCCAGAAGCTCCTGTTGCTGGAAAGGTGCAGCCCTCCATCCAGGATCCTCCTCTCCCTGCTAAGAAACATAAGACAACTGTGAACCTTGGCTGGTCAAATGGCTTTGCCACTGGCCCTGTTCATAGCCCACTGCCCTTGTCCCTGCCACCTGGTCCTTCTCCCACATCCTTGGGCAATGGTTTGCAGACAGGTGCACACCAGCATCACTTGCAGGTCATCATCTCATCTGATGAGGCTGCTGGCCTCTCTTCCTTGGTTCCCATGCAGTGCTCCTATGATTTGCTGTCCTATGCCCTTCTCCACATTATAGAACACCCTATAAATATGAGCTAGCCATTGTGGTTGGATGGTAAAAACCAGAGCATTTTTATTGTCCTGCAGAACTTCTAGCATGATGAAGACTGCAGGCTCTGCAGCCTGGTGTCTGGATGGTGGCTCAGTTTCTGTTCCAGTTCTGCCCTGGCCAAGTCCATTGCACTAATCCTACCTGCCTTCCTCTGTCAAGAAACATCCCTATATGGAGCTATGCTATCATGTGGTCTTTTTTTAAAAAATATATATTTTTTGGTTGTAGTTGGACACAATACCTTTATTTTGTTTTCATGTGATGCTGAGGATCGAACCCAGGGCCTTGTACATGCTAGGCAAGCACTCTATTGCTGAGCCACCACCCCAACCCATATCATGTGATCTTAAATGATCTAATAAGGAAAAGGCTTAGAATTACCTGGTATGTAATAAAAACTTTAAAATATTTAAAAAATATTTATTGTTATTACTATGCCAAACTGGGAATCCAATTTCATTGGACAGTGAAACAAGTTTAGATTTAGAAATAAGACAGAACTAAGTTCAAATCCTGAATGAACAATAATTTAGGCACATGACCCTTGGCATAATTAACGTTCCTCAGACTGTTAGTTATGGCTTAAATGAGGCTAATGTTCATAGCACAGAACTGCAAATAGGATCACATCAGACAAATGGAATCAGTGAGTCCAGTACTACTTTTAGCAGGTAGGTAATTGACTCCCTTTGTTTTCAGACTTTCTCAGGCTACACTCATTGATATTTAATTTTATACAAATTTAACATATGTGGCTATATTAAAAAAAGTTGGAATTAAGCTCTACTAAAGCAGTAACAAATGGAAGGTTTTCAACTGCCTTAATAGAAACCACTCACTGAAATAAAATTATCAGAGAAAAACAATGAATTAAAAGAACCACAGCCAAGGAAAAAGAAGACATGTATGCTTAATGTATTAGGTAGCCCATGGGTAAAAGTATGTCAAAAAAGTTTAGGAGTCTCTTTTTTTTGAATTTGAGAAGTCCAGTGTATTTCTGCCTTAACTTTTTTTTTAAATATTTATTTAGTTGTAGACGAACACACGGTATCTTTATTTCATTTTATGTGGTGCTGAGGATAGAATCTGGTGCCTTACACATGTAAGGCAAGTGCTTTATTTCTGAACTACAGCCCCAGCCCTCTGCCTTGACTTTAATTGATGAGAAGAAGTAAAAATGAAAACAAATTTCAGAATGAGAACAAAAAAACATTTATGAATTCCAAGATATCTTTTTACAAAAAAGAAACAAAAAATGATATTCATTTATATTACATTCATTAACTTTCTCAATGGCTAGCAAAGTTAACTAATAAAACTTTAAAATTTGAACTTCCCTCAACTTCATTCACCTTGGATTTTAATTGTGGCTTATATGTTTGTATATTTTCAAACTTTACAAATATTTTACATGACCACTCACCAATGAGACATGCATCACATTTTTCCAATGTATTTTGCTTGCATTCTGATTCCTCAAATGATGTAGCTGATTTAAAATTTTCACTTTCACCATTTGCAGTGTGGCTATCCTATTGATGCAAGAGAATATTTAAACTAAAAAAACAAAACACACCTCAAAATAAATAGTTCAAAGAGTGTTGACTTATTAACACAAACATCACAAAGTTCTAATGCAATTCCATAATGGTTGAAACTCACTTCCTTTGAAGAAAAATATAGTGACTTCATGGAACGTTGTATCTCTCTTTCTTTTGGTGATATCACAAGTTTTGAAGGACAGCTTTGATTAAGCTGAGGTGCAACAACATCTGTATTACATGTAACATCTTGTAGCTGAAGGGACCCATTGAAGATCTTCTGTGAGTGAGTTATGAGGAACTCTACTAATCGTGTCTTATTTACATATTCAACAAGGATGGCGTTGGTGATGGGAACACCTGTGGGCCTTTGCTTCATGAGACAGGGTGCAAATATCACCCCCAAGTCTCTGGAGGTCATCTTGTTTTCTTCAGCATGGTCTACTACTCTGAAAAGAAGAACACACAAAGCTGTATGAGATTTGCCTATTAGAAGTCCTTAATGATAGTTTACTATGAATTGAGAAAGGTAGAGGAAGCATGGGCTACAGAAGTCTACAGAAAGTTTGTCAAAGGTCAAGTTTGGTGGGTCTAGGTAAAGAATACATTTGTTTTATTACAATGTTTACCACACACCAAACTGAGTTTCAGAGTAGTACATTAGTATAAAATTCACAGAAGTAGAAGGAATTACTGACGTTTTAGCAGCAGAAGGAAAAAAAATGCCCCTAAAAATTGCTCCTTCTTTGTATATGGTATGTACTTCTAGGTCCTTATATTGGAAACTGAAACATCACTGTCAATTTCTCTCTCACTGCCCACAGTTAGTTTTCTTTTTAAAAAATATCTTTAGTTGTAGAGATACAATATATTTATTTATTTATTTGTTTATTTATTTATTTATTTACTTTGATGCAGTGTTGAATATCAAACCCAGTGTCTCCCACATGCTAGACAAGCATTCTACCACTGAGCCACATTCCCAGCCCCCCACTAGCTAGTTTTCTAGTCTAGATGATTCTCTCTCCTGAACATTTCTTTGTTCTACTGCCACTCTTGATGTTCTGGCTTTACTTCAAGCACTCACAGCTTTTTATTTCTATGACTATTCAAAGAGATCTGAATTGTAGAAGGCATCTCCACCAACCCATTTTTCATATTGCTGTCAGAAAGATCTATCAGGCAAATCTGAGCATGTGAAATTCTGGACTCCAAGTTCTTTAGTGGGTACAGAAACAATATGGTCAACTCATCGACTGTAGGTAGGGTTTTCTTATCAGGCCTGTAGATAGGGTAGCACAGTTCCTGCTTGCTATATTATAGTCTAACAAAATTATATTTTCCAAATGTAAAATGCTTTCTTGTGTCTCCATGTCTGTTACTCTCTGTCCAGTAAGCTCTTCTGCACATTCTCTACCAAATCCCAATCAGTTCTTAAAATCTGACTCAAGGGCTTGCCTCCTCTGCTTTACCCCAACCCCAAACTTCCTCTGCATGGCTGCATGCTGTGCACAGCTACTAGAAAAAGGATGATGCTGTTTTGTGGTTATGTAAAGGTCTGTCCCCCATGATGATAATAAGCCCAGAAACAGCAGAAACCCTGTGTTTCCATCCTGGTTTGCCCAGCTAGAGCCTGACAGACACATAGGAGGCATCTGAGGGAACAGTGTTGGCTGCATGAACATATATTCAATGTCTCCCTTTTCCAACACAGAATAAAAACATCATAAAATTGAAACAATCATGTAAAAACAATACCACAACAATACAAATATACTTAATACTACTGCACTGTACAATTAAAAATGGTTAAGATGGTATAAAAATTCTTACTGCTTAAGATGTATGATAAGGTAATGAAGACTGTTAAAATTTGCTGTTGGCAATTGTCCTAGAAGGTCCTTGCTTTTTAGAAGAATTCGGCTTATTTCTAAACACATATTTGGGTATTTTTTGTCATTGGGATTATCCTTGTTGGTTTCTTGTTCTTCATTAGCATGTTGGATCTCTTTTGCAAGGTTCATAAATTCCTTGTACAATTGGAATAAAATCAATGGTTCTGGGAGCTAAAGAAATAAAATTACATTAGAATATCTTCTACTTTTTTGTTGAAGTCAACTATTAGTGAGAGTTACTCAAATGATTAAGCACGTTCCTTTAGATTAACAAAATTTAAAGTCAAAATATATTTATTTATTTTGCAGTACTGGGGATCGAACCTAGGACCTCAAGCATGCTAGGCAAGCACTTTACTATTGAGCTTCATCTCTGCCCATAAAACTATGTTTGCTAGAGATACGACTTATACAGCAAATCAAAATCTTCATCATAAATTGTATTTATGTTAAAACAAGTTAACAGATAATCAGTTAAACTCTAAACTTTAAATGAAGTTTAAACTTTAAGCTTCATGATGAGCTTTTAAAATTCTTGTCTATATCTTCAATATATTATATTCACATCTGTCCCCCAAATGGCATGATCTCCAGTTGTTTTATTGAAACAAACCTAGGATAATGCACAAAACAAATAAAATGAATTAGAAAAGGCACAGATTTTATTAGTAAAAAATATCAAAATGCTACAGGGCTCATGTTTTCATTGGGTCAGAATGAAGATCAGCACTAGATGATATGACCTATAAAAACATGCTTTCAACATCTTACTAATCAAATTTTAAAACAGCCTGATTTTCCATGAGTAGATTAAAAGAAAAAGTTCCTCTAACAAATGTCCACTGCCATAATGAATTTCAATGTCTCTACTGATCTGTGATAGAAAATTCAGTGTACCTTTGGCTACCTGCTGGTCCTATATTATCTGTGGAAAGTTAGGATGTTGCCCTGTGATCAGTTTCTATCTTCACCACTTTGGGATCTGAAGCAAGTCACTTAATCTCTTGGAGCTTTAGGTCAATGAGTCAAATAAAGGTTACTTTCTAACACTACTGCAAGAATTGAGCACAGTATCCCACATGATAGTCTTGGACATACAAAATTCCTAAAGCAGAATGCAAGTTTATAGTACCGGACCCCACTAATCTCCTCTCCTTGAATATCTAAAAGAGATGAAGAATGACACATTATAAGACTTATAGTTATTCAAAGGTATAAACTTCTATTTCTCATTTGAAGGGTCTGTAAAATGTGATTACAGAGTTATCAATAGTTTTCTGGGCTAACATTATAGATACAGCAATTCATACTTAATTTCTTTTCCTCCTGTAACCCCACTAATATACAGTAAGCCCATAAGGACTAGGAAAATAGAGAAAACAAAAAGCAAAATTCACAAGTAGAAGAGCAGATGAACAAATCCTAACTCAGCAGTTCCAAGAAAGCTGAACCCTTGTCACTCAACATAATTTTCAGAATCCTAAAGGGACTTGGACAATCAGTACCAGGTCCTATGATCTTGGGGTAGGGTGCAGGTGGGCCATTGGAGACAGGTGGGCCTGTCTTCACTCCATGTTCTTGAGCAACTTCTTCCCTAAAAATCTGGAAATGTTTTCTCTGGGCAATGTGATACAGAGGCTCTCTGAATGGGGGCAATGCCAAACATAAGAAACAGAGAGGTGACTGTCTGAAAATGGGGATTTGTTGGCTGTATGCACACTGAATGCACAGATCCTGCAGTCATTGTTCCCATGCTAGCTCCTATAGTATTGGTACCATATCTCTAGGCAGGAAAACCCCTTTCCAGAGGGGATCAAATAAACCAGTCCAAGAGCAGGGAACTAGAAACATGTAAAAAGGCATATCCTAAATGGTCCACCTAGAAAATTTTATAGGAAAGTTCAAAGTTTTTAAAAAGTCTTAATGTGTTCAAGAGCTTCCAAAGAAATTTCACTCAAATCAAGAGTGAGTCAGATTCCACACATTCTAGACACCATGAAAGACAAAAATCAAAATGAGTAGAGAAAGAACTAACTGAAGGTCTAAAATTATGCTATCAATATGCTGGCCACTAGTTATATTTGGTGAAAGAGTACTGGAGATGCAACTGATCTAAATTGAGATGTATTCTAAAGGAAAAATAGATACCAGATTTCAAGGACTAAGAGCTCAAATATAAATAAATAAGGAAATAAATAAACTATCTCATAATTAAAAAATACTAATTAGATATTCAAAATGTTAAATAAAATATTAAAATTAACTTCACCTATTTTTTAAAAAAATTTATGTGGCTATAGTAAATCTAATATATGAGGGTCAATCGTATTTCTACAGAGGGTTAGAAGCTAAGAAAAGAAAAGAACCCTTACAAGGAAAATCTGTGAATATCCACTGGAAAATAGCATGATATAATCATTTTAAAAAATGTTATCAAAAGAATAGAAAATCAGAATTCTTGAAAATTAAAACAAGATCTCTGGAATGAAGTAATGTACATTAGTCAAAAAGATAAAGTTGAGGAAATGTCTTAGAAAGTTATTGAAGAAAAAAAGAATAATAATAGAGGAAAGGTAAGGTAAGGGAACTAGCTTCAACCAAAAAGTACAAAAGACAGAGGAGGGGGGAAATGGGCAATAAAAATCAAGAAAAGTTCTAAGAACTAAAGTACTGACTACTGACAGAGCTCATGGAGTGGCCATAATAGTGGATGAAAATATGTCCACATCAATATACAATATTGTAAAATCTTAGGATGATGGAGGTCAGGGGAAGATTCTATTTGCTTTTAGAGACAAAACAATAGGCACATAAAGAGTTAGGAATGAAATAAGGAGGATTCACATTTTAAGAGAACAAAAACACCCGTACCTTCATAATTCAGAGGAAAAAGAATTTCCAGACTATAATACTAAAACTTCCATACTATTACACTACTCCATATCTATTAAGAGAGTAGAAAAGACATTTATGGATGAACAAGTTTTCAAATATTCAATCCTACACTTCACTTTGCTTAAGGACAGACATAACCAAAACAGAATAACCCCAAAACAAGGAAAACAGGAGAGGTGTTCCATCACAAAAGAGAGGAGAGGAGAGTAATCTCAGGATGACAGTTAATAACCAAATTAAAAGGGATCTGTAAGAGAGCAAAATAACTCCAGAGAAGGACAGATTAAGGATTATCAGCACTATTCTCTCTGTCATTATCTCTTCATTTTCACCCAAGGATAGAAGGCCAACTGGGTCTGACCCAAATCTCTTTGTACTTGGCTCACAACAATGTGCTGATTAAGTTCCTGTAACTCCTCTGAAAGCGGCTGCCTAAAGCCAGCAAGGTCATTTAATTCATTCCACAGATGTGTGTGTGTGTGTGTGTGTGTGTGTGTGTTTGACTTACTCCTGCAAACTGCAGGTATAATAGTGAGCACAGAAAATGACAATATAGGACAGCCCACTCCCTGACCATATTCCTGCTGGATTTCTAGTACCCACTTTATGGGAAGAGTTATTCTTGATGCCCCAAACATGATGAACTTCATGGCCTTGCCTACTGACCTCCCCAAATAGCCATTTTGAAACATCACTGAAGGCAAAGCTAGACTATGATCTAGATACTGTTCTACTTACTCAATATTCCTAACAGTGTGAACACTGACTTGTACTTAATAGTTACGTTTATGCTTTTAAGTCAGTATTATAAAACTTAAAGAAACAAAAACTTATTAAGTGTTATTTATTCTTTTATGTTTAGGAAAATGTTTATCCCTTTTACATGATTAGGAGGACCTCCAAAGGTGGAGCTGGGAGGCTGCAACATGGAAGAGGTACCTGGAAGATTTGTACAAGGGATAGTAATATTCTATCTTCTTAAGCAGGGTGATGGGAAATAAATTTTATTTTATTATTATTATTATTATTACTATTATTATTATTCTTTAAACTGTATGTATATTTTATATACATTTTATGATCTGTACATCAATAATGAGAAAAACGTTAACATGGGAGGATCAGTGGAGTGGAGTTGGGGGAAGAAGGTAGGAAGAAGAGGGACTGAAGAAGAGTGAGTCAGATTCCACACATATATGAAATTGTCAGGATGAATCTAGCTACTATGTATATATATAATGCTCTAATAAAAAAAAGACATCGACAGTGCCAATGAAAACATATGAAATATAAAACATATTTTTGCTCTTTTTATTTGATGGTAGGTTTAGAATAAAAACTTTACCTGTTGAAGGTATAATTTTAAGACGTCACAGATGTTATTTGGATGAAACTCTGAAAGGTCTACCAAATGCATTCCATTCTCCAAAGCTTGAAACAGTTTTTTAGTTTTTGCTTTGTTTCCAATATCACGATAAATTCCCTTGAATAGAAAAAAAATACGCAAAATTCTACTTTACTACAAAGGACTAAATGTAGACATCTAAACATATTTTCTGTATCTACTTCAATTTTTATTAGTATTTTAGATAAAAAGTTAAAGTCAAATCAATTAACATTTTCCAAATAAATGTGAATAAATTTAATTATTACAAACTGAGAGTACTGATTTTCTTAAAGTCTCCTTTGCATTAAAATAAATCACACAGGCATTTATATTTTTAGAATTTTAAGAGTTAACAACATACCTGTAAACACAAGGCTCTCTTTTCAATCTCTGAGACACATATTTTGAGTATAAAAGGAATGCCATCTGGCTCCTTTTTTGCAACTTGTGTGAATTTTACTCCAAATAAGTATATTTTTCCCACAAGTTTCTGATGACCACAAATGATGACTAAGTTTTCCAAACACTGTTGATGACAAACAAGGAGACACTACAAGAAAATGACAGTTTAAAACTGATTAACTCATCTTAAAACTATTCACGACTAAGCAAACAACAGGCATACTAATAACAACAAAAATGAGTTACACATAAGGGGCTAATGTGATTCCAAAAATATCTTACCTCTTCACATTCAACACCTTGGAATACATTTACAATGCCTTCACAATCTCTGCATTCTGTGGGGAATCTCAATTTTCGGAACTTGTGAGTGACAGCTGCTTTTGACATCAATGGTTTCTTAAATGTTTCAAGGGAACTGGGTCCTTACAACAAAAATGTTATTGTATAGGAGGGTAAATTGACCAAAAAACAAAACAAAGCAAAAACCAAACCTATCTATCTATCTATCTATCTATCTCTCTCTATATATCATGATATTGTACTTGAAATAATTTTTAGACTTTGAGATTATTCATATATTACAAAAAGCTATTATTTTGAGTTTCTAACATGAAAAAAGCATCCAATTTATAGATCTCTTTTATAAAACACATACTTTTATTCAACATTTTATCCATGAGTAAAAATCACCATCAAGCCCATAAAATAATTGGAAGATACTATGGCATAATATTTCCTGAATCAGCAAATTTAAGCCAAGCACAATGGTGTATGCCTGTGATCCTAGCAACTTAGGAGGCTGAGGCAGGAGAATCACAAGTTTGAGGCCCACCTCAGCAACTTTAGTGAGACACTGTCTTGAAATAAAAAATGAAAAAGGCCAAGGATGGCATCTCAGTGATAGAGTGCCCCAGAGTTCAATCCCTAGTCCCAGGGGAAAAAATAATATTTATACTTGTATTAATATGCTCTTCACAGAGTTGGGAAGTATGTTCATAGGTGGCATATGAATGCTACAAATGCTTCAATGAAGAACAGCAACATGAGGTGAGTATGTTAGAAGTATTTACATTAAGGATAGATCTCTTCTTAATTCACTATAAAATTATAGGTAATACTAGCTAGTTATATTTTAATATTATATCAATATTCCACTAATTTGGGAAGTTATGCCAAGACAGGCATCTGCAGGTATCAAATGTACAAAATTATTTTGTATGAGTCTAATTTGAGTCATTAAGGTAACTGACTTGAATATCCTTCAGCACCCAAAACATTCCTTATTCTGAAGAAGTACACTGAATCTGCTCTTCCTGCTTGATTTCTTATACTCTTTCTTTAGAAGGAGATTTCTCAGACTTTCTCAGGCATGCTCCCTTTTAACAGTAAGTCATTGGATTTATGAAAGAAGACCATACCTAGCCTGCTATTTTAATACCATGCCAATACATTTTAGATCTACTAATTTTGTTGCTTATTTTTTTTTTTAATTTTTGGTGGTGCTGGGAACTGAACCTATTGAACCTATGACCTTGTGCATGATAAGCAAATACTCTACCACTAAGCTATTATCCCTAACCCTGCTACTTATTTTTCTATTTGTGATTTAAATAACTGATTATTATGTTGTCAACTAATACTTGAACATAATTATTGGGATATATTTAAGTTACTGTGCGGCGCTTTTGTTTAGTACACAGCAAAGTAATGATTCTTTAAAAAGACACTATCTTACTAACATCATGAGGTGCTACTACTTCAACCAATTTAATGGGTTTTCATTCAAGTGAATACAATACAATACCAGCTTCTGAAGGGGAAGGTGGCCCTCTTTCATCTAAATCATCTGCAGAAGACATGGTTCCACTGGATGGAGTCTGTGGAACTTTTTGATGAAAGTCTCCTAAAAGAAAATTGTTGCTACCATTACCTGGCTATTCATGATAAAATATTACAAATAGGGGGCTGGGACTGTGGCTCAGCGGTAGCGCACTTGCCTTGCATGGGTGAGGCATTGGGTTCAATTCTCAGTACCACGTATAAATAAATAAAATAAAGATCTATCAACAACTAAGAGAAAAAGTATTAAAAAAGAATATTACAAATAGGAAATGACAATATTTTTGGAATTATACAAGTCATACTATTTTATTAGCTTCACTGGAAAATTTTGCTTGCTTTTTTATCTTTTTTAAAAAATATTTTATTAGTTGTTGATGGACCTTTATTTATTTATATGTGGTGCTGAGAATTGAGCCCAGTGCCTCATACATGCTAGGCAAGCGCTTTACCACTGAGCCACAACCTCAGCCCCTCCATTCTTATATTCTAGATAACAGGGAGTTCTGATGTTCATTCATTCCTGGGAAAAAAAGGAATTTAACTAAATCCATCTGACTTTTCCAAATAAATTTAAAATTAGGTCATATATTCCTATGAGAACTTACTGCCAACTTCTGATAGAAAGTATTAGAGGTTGTAAGCCTCACAAAGATAGGTAGTATCTGATATTCATGTTCTATATCTAATATCTGACAGTGGCTAGCAAAATAGTAAAGTTGTCATTAAATGTTTCCTAAGTTACAAATAAATGTATATAATCTAAGGCCTTCTAAAGTATACAAAAATCATTTGAACCCAATAATCCAATAGTAAAATTAAATTATGTTATTAGCAATTCAGGAGATAGGAGCCAGGAACAACAACCTAGGGATCTCTAGCCAGGAACTGAAACCACAAGTTCAAACTATGTCAAAGGACACTGCTGTGTATATATCAAAGCTGGTTTGGAAGCAGACTGACTAGCAGAGATTTACTCTGATGAAATTATAAACAGGTCTACAACTGAGTAAAAAATTCACCTTAACTCAAAATACTTAAAAAAAAAAAAGGCCTTGGAATTTGATGAAGTCAAACCCTATAACATCCCCCAAGGGTCTAGGAGGAAGGCAGACAGCCAGAAAGGACTATAGCAGTCTTTGGTGGAAGAATGTGGAAGCAAGACTCTCTTGGGTTTAAATGTGACCTTCTCCTGCTAGCTATAAAACCTATGGTGAATTGTTCCAATTATGGACTTTAAGGCAGGCATGGTGGTTATAATTGGGACTAGGTCTCATACATAAAGCCTGATTTTCTAATTCCAGAGCTCTAGTTCATTTAATGATAAAATGAGCAATCTGTTCCTTCATAAACCTGTATTCTCTTCAGAGTGAAAAGTACCTGTTAGGTCTGCATTCTTAGAGCATCTGTCCTCTTCTGTTTCATTACAATTGTCAGGAAGGTGCAAAACATCCTCTAAAGCGTCAGCAGGGCCACATCTAGGCTTCTGGGAACTATTTGTTAATGGTTTATTTACATTCCTAAGAAAAAGCAAATAAAGCTCAGCACTAACAATATCTACTTTATACCACAGTCAGAAAAATTTGTTCATTTAATAAATGTAGAGTAATTAACTGAATATTATGAACAAATTATTACATGGTTCAGCTTCTTAAAGGAGATGTGGGTAAAACTTATTTTCACAGTTGAAACATGAACAGGAATAGCAATGGTATAGTTAGTAATTCACTTTACGGTTAAACTTTTCCAACATCACCTCAGTGGAAAATGTAGGTTAAATTTTGTGGACATTCAAAATGTGTATGTTTGTCCTTTGCCATTCCCAAAAGATTTTTATGTCTCACAGAACTGAAGTCTGTCAAAACGGAAAGCTTTACTCTCAAGTGAGTTACATCTATTCACTAAATGGACTAAGAAATGACAAAATAATACAAAAAAATCCAGAAATTTATAAAGCTAATTCTATGAATGTTAGAAAAGATACCACTTTATAACAATCAGGAACTTAGGAAATGTCTTATATCTAGAAATCCATGTATATAGTAATTCTTACCCATCAACTTTTTCTTCTTCAGTTGAATTTGTAGCCTTCACAGATTCACTATATTCTTGGCCTGGATCATAAAGTTTGGCGCTATCACAGAGAGACTGTAAACTGTTTGCAAGGGAGGCAGCCTGCAAGTGCTGCATCTGGAAAAGGTTAACTGTTACCTATAGTCACCGATACAAAAGGCAGAAACAACTCATTATATACAGAATGCATTATAAATAAATGTAATTGATTTCAATGAATGCACCAATATAAAGGGCATAAAAGTAAAACAGCACTGAATACCTCTGTACACATGGTATACTGCCTAATATTATGAAAGATAAAGATTGTAAATAAAAAAGCAGTTTTAATCTAATATCTAGGAATGATCATTTCCTGCAAAACGGTCTTAAACTGTAAAGTGTAAAAGATACAACCTACTCCCCTGATGGTTCACAATCTGAGGATCCACAGCTCTGTACCCTGCTGGTTTGACCACACTGCTTACACTTACTTATATGACCATGATCAAGTTATTGATAACCAGTGATTTGAAGAAAATTGACATTCGAATGAATCACCGGAGAGTGTGGATTGAAATGCAAAGTTCAAATGCAAAGTGTGGATTGAAACCCAAGATCCTGCATTCCTTACAGGCTCCCAAAGAAATGGCAATATGACTGTTTCAAAGACCTCATTTTTAGAGAAAAGGTTTTCTAGAATTTTGTTTCTGCATCAGTTAAAAAGGAGGTAAAAACAATTATATTTTACCCAATCTGACTACATGTGAATTAAATAACTTAATGTAGACAAATAGCTCAATACACTGGTATGTAAATACTTAATCTTAAATATCATCAACTATAGTTTGAGGTGAAGAAGATGTGTCAAAGGTAAATGGTTAACCTAAATGACTTACAAGGTAATTTCAAATCCTTGAATTTTATAATCCTATTCAATTATTTTATATTTCTGTAAGCTACAACATTAATTAATTAAAATTTGGTAAATTAATGAAACATAATTTTAAATACCCAAACATTTTAAATGTTTCTTATTCAGATGCAGTAATCTTACTATCCCTGGGCTACACTGAATTTGCTCAAAAACCCTGGGCAGAATGCACAAATCAGCTAAGAACTCCAAAAAGAAAATGGTAGTGGATAGAATGTAGCAAATAAATTACAATTCAACATATATTTTCCTTGTTCCCACCCCATCACATTTCCAGCCCATGCTTGGCCCCTATGCAAAAACAGTTTGAGATCCAGAAGTATACACAGGATATGGATAGAAAGACTCCAAGAGAGATCCTCTCCAGTCTAAGAAACAAACAAAAAAGACATGGAATAGGAGATGTGACTAAAAGAGCAGGTGATAATCCTGGTTTCTTTGGTGGATTTGTTTCCTTTCCTGCCAGATGAATTGTGCTCCAAGGAGTGAGTGGATATGAAATTCCTCTTGTTTTCCTTTATTCTCCCCTTATTTAATGACTGAGAATTGATGCCTCTGGCTCCCTGGAGGACAGCAGAGTAGGCAGGTACATTTTAGTTTCCCAGTCAGAAGACTAGGAAGGGAGGCACACAGGAGCTGGAGAGAGAATCTAACTACATCAAATTCTGTTAAACTTAAAAAAAGAAAAAAAGAATAAAAAAAGAAATGAATGTTCAATACAGGTTATAAACAGGATGAAAAGTCACAGAATGTATGCTGAAAATAGTTCAGATATCATCTAATGTTACTTGTCACACAAAGAACCAGGAAAATCTCGAAAGTTTCATCAACTCACAAGTGAAAAGACAGTGCACAGATATCAACACAGATGGTGCAATTATCAGATGAAAACTCTAAAGCAGCTATGATAACATGCTCAAGAAGTGAGGACAATCAATCTTGATACATGAACAGACAGAAGTCTTAGAAGAGAAATAGAAGATTCAAAAAAGAAACAAAAGGGAATTTTCCGATTACAAAATTTACTAAAGGATTGAATAGGAAAACGGAGTCAGTGAACCTGAAGACAAATCCATAGGACAATAAAGTTGCCCCTCAATTTATGATATACTTACTTCCTGATAAACTCACCCTAAGTTGAAGATGTATTTAAAACCCACTGTAAAGTTGAACAGGGTTAAGGCTGAGTCACAGTAAGTTGGGGACTGTAAAAACAATTAAAGGTAAAAAGATTGGGGGAAAAAACAGGATCATTCAAACCTGTGAGAGCACTTGAGTCACCTGAGTTTAAGAGAAGAGAAAGAAAGTGCTACAAATGAAAATATTTGAAAACAAAACAACAACTAAAACCTTGTCGATATTTGCAAGGGTCAAACGTGTAGATTCAAGAAATTCAGTGAATCCAAAACAGGAAAAAGTCAGCAAAATCCATGCACAGATATATCTTAGCCAAACTGCTGAAAAGCAAACACAAAGAAGATCTAACCTTGGAAGTAGCCAAAGAAAAGCAACACAAACCATATAAGGAACAATGATGCAAATGACTATGGATTTCTTCTAAGAAACCATGGAGGCCAGAGGCAGTGAAACAACATTTTTAAAGTGGTGGGGGAAGAAAAACAACAACCGAATTGTGTATTTAAAACTCAATGTACAGTGAAAATGTTCTTCAGAATTAAGGACAACATGAAGGTATTCTTAGATAAAGGGTAATTTGAAAAATTGTGACCAGCAGACTGGCTATAAAAAGAAATGGTAAAGGAAGTTCTGTTTACAGAAGAAAAATGTTACCAGAGGGAAGATGGAACTGCAGGAATGAAAGGAAAATAAACAGAAATGGAAAATATATGGGCAAATATCATATATTACCTTCCTTCTCTATAATACATATGACTTTTAAGCAAAAATTTTAAGAGGGCCTGGTGAGGTCTCTCATGTATGAACACATATCAATCACAATCCTCAGTGGTTAAGGGGACTTGTATAGTAGCTAGGTTTCTACATTTACTTCAAGTGGTACAATATTAGTTCTCTGTGAACTGTGAAATATTAAATACACTTATGTCTCAGTATCCATTTGGGATGGTTTTAGGATACCCCTCAGATACCCAAATCTCAGATACTCAAGCCCCTTATATAAAACGGCACAGTATTTGTACAATAATCTATGCATACTCTCCCAAATACTTTAAATAAGATTCATAGATTACTTATAGTGTGTGATATGATGCAAACGCCATGTAAATTGTTGTTATACTATATTGTTTGGAGAATGATAGAAAGAAAATCTGTTCACGTTCTATAGTACAGATGTGATGTGTTTTTTGTTGAATTCATGGATGTGGAATCCATGCGTGGAGGATCAACTGTATACACACACAAGCACACACACAAATACTGCAATTACTAGTATAACCAACTAAAATACATATGTGTACAATGAGATATAATATAAAAATCTAATATTTAAATTAAATAGACCAAATGTAGATGAGCATTTTAAATTAAAATATAATTCTGATAATAGATTAAATTAAATATATAATAGACAAAATGTAATTCCAAAAAATTATCAATTCAACCAAAAGAAGACAGTAAAAGGGAAGCAGGTAAAGGAAATATAAGGTACGAACAGGAAAGAAATAAAATGGACCTACATATGAACATATATGCTACTTATATTCTATATAAGAAACTTGCTTTAAATACAATGATAAAGTTAAAAATAAAAAGAATGGAAGAAGAAGATATACCATGTTCAAAAGAAAATTGAAATAACTATCAATATTATATAAATTAGACTAAAAAGCAAGGACTTTTACCAGGATAAGTGGAGACATTTCATAAAGATAAAAGGACTGATTTATCAATATCATATAACAATTGTTAATGTGGAAGTAACTAACAACATAGCTCAAAATACATAAAAACTGAAGGAACTAAAAATACACAATATGATTGTGTCTGCAAACTCTTAGTAACTGATGAACATTTTTAAAAGTAACCAAGAATATATAAGAAATAAATTTCACTACAAACTAAGAGGAACTGACACTCATGAAACACTCCAGTAAACAATAGAATGCACATTTTTTCAAGTACACACATGGAATATTCATTATTAATCTTTTCAAAGAAACACCTTTTAGTTTCACTGATTTTTCTTTTCCTTTTTCAGTTTTATTGATTTTTCCGCTTTTTATTCTTTTGTTTGTTCTTGACTCAATCTTGAGTCATAAAACAAACCAAAACAAATTTAAAAGAACTGAAATCATACAAAGTATTTCTTCCACCATAATGAAATTAAACTGGAAATAATCAGTATCTAGAAAAATAATCTTCAAGTACTTGGAAAATTAAACAACAAACTTTACATTACCCCTATCTCAAAAATGAAGTCTTAAGGGAAAATAGAAAGTATTTTAAACTAAAAAAAATGAAATTATATTTCAAAATTTGTGAGATTTTTGAGTTAAACAATGATATAGGGAAATTTAAAGCGTTAAATATTTTTACTAGAAAAGCAGGAAGGTTTCAATAAACAATGTAACCTCCTATCTTTAAGAAACTTAAAACAAAAAGCAAACATGAAATAAAGAATAAAAAGCAGAAATCAATAAAACTGAAAAAAGAAAAATCAATGCAAATAATAATTATGCTTGAAAGCGATTTTTTGAAAATATAAATAAAATTTATAAACTTGGAGCCAGTTTGATCAGAGAGAAAACCTGCCAGTGCAAAGGAGGGGAGATAAGAAAAGGAGTGGATATAAATGATCTACATCAGAAACAAAAGAGGAGAGATCACTACAACCTACACACATATCAAGAGGATGAGGAAACACTACAGACAACCCTAAGCACCTAAGTTCAGCAATTTAAGATGATAGGCCTGGGGCTGGGATTGTAGCTCAGCAGTGGAGTGCTCGCCTAGCACTTGTAAGGCTCTGGGTTCGATCCTCAGCACCACATAAAAATAAATAAATAAAATAAAGGCATTGAGTCCAACTACACCTAAAAAAAAAAAAATTGAAAAAAAGAAGATGATAAGCCCAATTCCATATAAGTCACAGACTACCAAAATTTATCTAAGAAAAATTATTAACTTGCATAGGATTTTATCAACAGAAGTTGAATATGTAGTAAAAAATCTTGCTAAAAAGAAAATCCCAAGCCCAGATACTTTTACCAGGGAATGCTACCAAACATCTAAACAGGAAATAACA